AATACTTACTGAGCCCTCTCTGGGTCCCAGTTCTTGAAGGGGAAACTTGTCAAATGCCTGAGTCAGAAGCTTACATTGTATTGGGAAGTTCAATTCAAAGGAAGCAAGAGATGGGAAAGGGGAAGTGAGGAAGAGAGAGGGGAATAAGTACAAGGAGATGAGTTTCCGAGCTGACTACAGATTTGCAATAAACACAGCTGTTGCTCGGTGCACAGGACATCTCCAGGAAGGCCATGAGGGTGTGTGCAGCTCAGAACCGTCCAATGACAAGGGCGTGGGGTATGGGGCAAGTCTGAGCTTCTACCTGCTGGTTTCTTTTTCTCCTGCCTTAGTTGGTCAGAGCCTGTGGGCATTTAGTCCCTGCACTTCTGGTTCATATTCCTGGTCTGTCCAGAAAGCTGCTAGAACGCTAGGGCCTTTGGGAGGCCACCAGCCCAGTGTAGGCCCTGGACCAGTTTCCTCTCTGTTGGCTCCCTTCTGGCAGGCTCCTTGACCAGGGAAACAGCACTAGCCATCACCAGAATTGGGGGGGGGAAGCAAGACAAGGGGCTGGGGCTGGGTGGGGTAGGGGAGCCAGGGCCAAAGCATCGAGCAGTAGGGACAGAATCGTGAACAAAACAGGGTTTTCTCTCAATGAGCTTAACTGGTGTCATGGAAATGTCCTGCTGGTACATCAACCTCAATCCTGATCGAGCAGGAGCCCCATAATCCCCTTCTGATCTCACTGTGTTTCCCATCTCAGCTGGTGGCATCACCACGCCTTGGTTATGCAGGCCCATTCCTCCATCTGCCTCACAGTCCTTCCCACTCCCCAGCACACCCTCAGGTTCAATTACTATGTATTGAGAACCCCCTCAATGCCAGAAGTGGGAGGATGAGGGATGTTTTGCTCCCCACCGAATACACAGCACCTGGCTCAGGGCCTGGTGCACAGTAGGTTCGCTGTAATATCTGCTGAATGATTGCACACATCAGTGATTCAATCTTCACAATGGCCCTGTCAGTAATGTCACAGAATTGCTCCTGTGTTTCCTTGCCCCCATGCCCTTGTCATTACCTCTCACCAAGAGCATTGCAAGAACATCTGGGTGCCCTGATTCTGGTCTCTCCTCCTTCCAGACACATTTCTGAAACTTGGCTCCAATCAATGCTCCAAACTTCCCAACAGCTCCCCACTGTGCACCCAATGAAATCCAAGCTGACTTGGCTTTCAGGGCTCTCCAGGGCCTTGCCTCAGTCAGACCTCCTGTCCTTCACTCACATCTCTTCCATCTAGAACCCAACAGAACCACCCCCATTTTCTTACTTGCACACTTTTGCTCCCAGGATTTCTTCTACCCTGTTCACCAGTGGAGCACGCTTCCCCAAATGACCCCTTTTCTTTTCTTTTTTTCCTTTTTATAATTTTTTATTGATTTCAGAGAGGAAGGGAAAGGGAGAGAAACATCAATGATGACAGAGAATCATTGATCGGCTGCCTCCTGCACACTGGGGATCAAGCCCGCAACCTGGGCATGTGCCCTGACCAGGAATTGAACCCTGAACTCCTGGTTCATAGGTCGACGCTTAACCACTGAGCAACACCGGCCGGGCCCCAAAGGACCCCTCTTCGATGACCGTTAAGATTATATTGAAGGGATGTTAGACGCAGTGCCAAGAAAAAGCAGGTTGAAATGTCAGCCCCGCGGGATGCATGCTGGGAGGTGGTCTGTCTTGACTGGGAGCCTGTCTTGTACACAGTCTCTTCTGCTGAGCAGAGATGCAGCATCTGCTCTCCACACCCCAGATCACTTCTTATATTGCACCTGACTCCCACCTCCACTTCCCACACACCTGCACGGGTTCAGATCCTTGCATCCTTCAAGCTCAGATTCAAATCCCTCCTTTCCATAAAGCCATTTTCTCCTCTAGGAGTCTTGTAAATCCCCACAACCCTTTCTTATGCCATTATACCCTGCATTCCTTATACCATGACTTGCACCATGCCTTACTTGCACTGATAAAATGCAAATATCCACTTCTTTGTGTTCCCCAGGGATCCTGATAATTACATGACTGCTTGCGGGGCAGGGGAGGAAGGGGAAGAAGGACATTCAGTGAGTGCAGCGTCAGGGCCTCCCCCGCAGGGTAGAGGCTGCTCGTCATTCTCCACTGGAGCACATGTCAGAACAAGAAAAGGGAAGCTGCTGACTCTTGATCCACGCGGACAGAGGAAGTGGGGACTAGAGTCTAAGGATGGTTGGTGACTTGGCTGCCAAAGGTGTTCATGATAGTTCTTCAAACATCCCCTAAAGGTATACATTGCATCCTGTGTTCAGAGGCTGCAAGGACTCGCTGACGATAGCTCATTTCCCCTACCCAAAAGTGTCATAGGCAGTTAGACAGACATGAGCAGAGCAAGGACAAGGGGTCAGGTACAAAAGGTCACCAGGCAGAAAGCCCGGGTGTGTAGCAACAGGCAAAACTAGGAACACAAGGTCCTCGCCCCAAGGTTACCTTTTCTTCCATATCATACCGCTGGTCTCGCAGTGTAGACCCCCAGATTTCCCCCCCCTAAAGATAACACCTAGGCCTCAGTTGTATTTAAGCTCCAGGCCCAGAAAAGCAGCAAAACCAGAAAAGTGACATGGTGGCCACCTCTGGACCAGCTGCAATGACTAATGACACCCTGTCCTGTTGCCAACCAATCAGCAGAGACCATGACATTGAGAGAGCACACCTGGAAAGATGATGCATATTCTACGGAAACCCTTCCCTGAAACCTCCCCTAAGATTCCCACCTGCAAGAGAGAGATAAGTCCCCGCAACACAAAGGGCCTAGCTTGTGCTCTCCCCCAGGGGAGCTCGCCTGCACCATTTCCTTCCCCCCTTCTTTACTGTAAGGGACCCCACGAGACTTGCAACCAGGGGCGCAATGGGCAGCAGCAGCTCGTCCTGGTCTAGCCCCATGAACCTGTCTCTAAGGCCTCCTTTGCTCTGACTTCTCTGAGCCAAAGCAGCCCAGCCTGGGCTCTCCTGTTGCTTCTTCTATGCCCTTCCTTGTTTCCCTGTCCTACGTGTGTTTTGCTGCAAATTCTTGCTTGCTTTGTTGCACTCTGTCTCTTGACTGAAATTGTTTTCCTTCAAGAAAACAAGAACTGAAGTCTCTCTCTCTCTCTCTCTCTCTCTCTCTCTCTCTCTCTCTCTCTCTCTCTCTCTCGCGCGCACACACACACACACACACACACACACACACAAATGATGTTTAAAACCTGGTCTCAGAAAAGTCGAAGAATGTTGTTCAGGGATCCTAAAGGGCAACAATTTAAGAACAGTTCGGTAGGCATGAATCAGGGGTTGTCTGGAGGGTGGACCAATGCACCCTTTTCCAAGTAAGCAACAAAGAATATTTTGGGGAAACATGCTCTGGAGTTTTACCAACTTCAGTGGAATATTATTAAATATTAAAGTCCAATATTACACTTCATGGAAAGGCATGTTTGCTAATTAGAACAAGAAAATAACCTTGAACTGGAGCTTTTGCTCCATCAAAAACTCCATACCAAGGCCTGTCCTGCCACTGTGGCTGAGTGTGGGGTTTAAGGTATTACCTCTGCCCTTGAGGAATGTGTAGTCTAGTTGACAAGACAAACATAGACTGTAGCAATGCAGCAACATCAGAGACTTGTATTGAACACAAGGAAAGACATTTTGACAGTTAAGATTATTAAACAAAGGAGGAAAAATTTCATCTCAGAAGGAATGGGGGGTGGAAGGGTACATCAACTGTATTGAGCTCTAGGGGGACCCCTTGAGATCTAGTGACCCACTTAATTTGGGCATGTCTAAACTCACTTTATCCCCCTTTTATCTAAGGAATTGAGTGGAAGAATAAAATGGATTCACTATAGTCAAGCTCCTCAATTACTAAAACCAAGTAGGTTGAGGCAGGAGGCAACCATTCCATTTTGTTTTAACAACCTGGGAACTTAAACTTTCTAGTCCTTTGTCGATGCCTGGAGAGACATAGAACCGCTGGAGAACCCTCTGATCCCCTCTGGAGGACTAAGGAAAGAATGTTCACGCACCCAGACCACCTGACATCCATTCTCCAGACCACTGGTCTTCTAGAAGATTGTCCTCCCAGACCAATCAGAGGCTGAGGCTGCAGGACTGATTCTTCTCCGGAATGTGCTCTGTCCTATGAGAACTCTCAGCTTTCCTTTCTTCTCTGGAACACGCTGCATATCGCCTAGTTGTGTTTCCAGTTTGCAAACCCCAAGACCCTTGAATAAATCTTTGTCATTTATTTCTAACCAAAGCCTCCAGACCCTTTTTGAGTTTGTTTGACATGTCTGCCAACCATAGTTACCCAAAGCATGGTTCCAGGCAGCTCACAGAGATACCAACATTCATCTCACACTAATAGCATTTTCAATTGCTGTAGTCTCCTCGCTACTTCAGGTTGGGCCACATATCCTCATCTGAGAAGCCCAGGAAGATGTCAGGACTTGCCTTGCCTCCCATATGTCTGGGGTGTGAGTGTGTGTGTGTGTGTGTGTGTGTGTGTGTGTGTGTGTGTTGTGGTGAAATGGCATGAGGTGGTGTGTATACAGGGCAAAGCATCAGGACCTCTCCCGACCAGGCAAATGGAGGGACCAAACCTATTACACATGTGAGCCTAATTCTTCAACAAACAAAAGGGCCCCTTTGCTGGGTGGCTTCCAGCAACAGAAGCAGAAGTTCCGAAAGCCAGCCAGGGGCCTTGCTTCTGGTGCCCACAAAGGCATGTTACCTTCCAGGTCCTGCCACCCACAAACTTTCACTCTCAAGCCTTCCATTTCTCATCCCCCCACCCCCACCCCCACCCCCCACCCTCAGGGACAGAGTCCCTAAAAACTGAATTCTCACAGGGCCCAGATCCAGGCAGCGCTGAAGCCTAGCTTTTCTATTCCACTCCACCCCCTCCACCCACACAGCTGAGGTCACCCGGCCCAGCCTCTTTTGCAACTTTCCCAAGTCTGTGCATGAGCGGGAGAGGAGGAAAACTCAGAAGGAACTGGCTTGATCTCAACAAACTCTTTTTTGCTCCCAAAGCCTTTTTCCTCTGACCCGGCTGAGACTGTTGATCTAAGTGGAGACCCCTCAGATTCAGCGAGAACACCCGCCTGTCCTCAGAGGCCGGATGCTAAGCAGCCACAGCTGTAAGTGCCTTGGAAGGTTTATTTTTGCTTCTCTTGTCTGTCCCAGCAACCCCCGGAGGTATTTGTGTTTTGGGGGGAAGGAGTGGAGCCAGGGGATACAAGGATGAGTCTTAGAATCTGGCAGCTGAGGGCTGAGATCCAGCCCAATGACCCTCACGCAGGAGAAACTCCCAGGGTATGGCAATGAGCCAGGCAGAAGAGACTCTGCCCAGCCCAGGGAACTGGGGCCCAGTTTGGGGCTCTGCATGGGCAGATGCAGCTGCTGGCACAATCAGAGGAACAACAGTCAGAAACTGGAGTCTTTCGAGAGGGCTGAGTCCTGCTAGCACCAGGAGTCCCCTTGACACATCAACAGGGTATCTTCTGGGATGGGGCCATCTCATCCGAAGGGTTTCATCGGCAAGGGGGAAACCCTGGAGTAAGAAAGTGCTCTTCTTGTTCTAAATCATTAGTATTGCTCTTAGCACAGCTCTGCAATGCTGGGCGGGCCCATGAACAGAGTCAGACAGACCTGGGTTCTAGTCTCAGCTTGCCTCAGGAATCCACTAGGCTGTGATGGCATTTTGTAAATTGCAGAGTGCCCTATAATTGCTAGGCACTATGAATTAATAAAAATAATCTATTTGGTCTTACCTAGCAATCCCCCAGCACACAAGTCCCATGGAGACAGGATCTGTCCATATCCCCAACCTTACATGGTGCTGATGCATAGTAGGCATGTCGTACATGTGTTCTGGACAGATGGACAGATAGAAGGATGATGAGTGGGTGGATGAATGGAGATAGATGGATGAATGAACGGACGGATGGACAGATGAATGGGTAGATGGAGATGATAGATAAATGAATTGGATGGATAAATGGATCAATGGATGGGTGATTATTTATTGAAAACTCAATATTCCCAGCATGGGTCAGCCTCTTTGGAGGGATTCAGAGAGGTGTGAGGCACTGTCCTGCCCTCTGGGCATGGCCAGTCCACTTCGGGAGGTGGGACTCATGCTCCCAAAGAACTTACATAGCAGGAGTGCAGAGCCTCCTGAAACCAGAACTGTTGGTGCACTTCCCGGAGGGAGCAGGTCTAGACCTGCTGGGATTTAGGTGGAGAAGGCAGAGTTGTGAGGCTTCCTGAGAGGCAAGAAGGCTGTGCTCCCTAGATAGCCTCTTCTCAAAGACAAACTTTACTCCCACGATTGTAATCCCATTACATTTTAAAGTGGATACATTTGGCATTTTCCAAGGCATGGGAGCGGGGAGGGGAGGCACGGAAACGGGTGAGAGTCCAGGGGAGTGGAGAGACTTGCCTGTTTCAGAATTCTCATGTCCCCCTGCTCACTGGTCTCCCTCAACCCCCCTCCCTGTCAGCAGACATGGCACCTCACTCACACAAACAGGGCAGAAGAGCGAGTCCTGGTTGGCACCAGGGGGATAAGAAGAGAAGGGCAGAGGGGATGTGCGAGCGCAGCAGGCCCAGGAGTTCTTGGACGCCTGGCCCCAAGACCTAGGGTTTTTATTTGTAAGTGGTGTGTGTGTGTGTGTGTGTGTGTGTGTGTGTGATCAACTCTGTCTTCCTTACTCCCCAGGGACTGAGCTACACTCACTCACTTTTGGCAGATGGGCAGGGGCAGGACTCCCGGCTGAGAAGTGCTGCCAGGCTAGCAGGGGTGGGAGTGGGGAGTCGAGTTAGTCACTTGCGGGGGAGAGCAGCAGCCTGAGATTCTGCTGTGTGTGGACCTGGGCTGACTGAAGGCAGTGCCCTGCATTCCAACCCTGCTTCTCGCTGTCATTTAACAATGAGGGTGCTGCCTCAGTCTGGCCTGTGGGAGGATGGCCGGCTTTGAAACAACTGAGTGATCTGAATGGGTAGGAGGAGGCTTACAAGGACACCTTTTGCCAAACTCCAGACACGGGAGAGCACAGAGGGCATGGGAAGTCACCGTTTGGAATCTGTGCATGCTTTCTTGGTGAGCCCAGCCAGTGTCTACCCCCAAGCTGCCCTTCCTTGCCACTGACACAGTCCTGGTCACCCTCTTGTTCCTGCCTGTTATCCTGGGCCCAAGGACCAGGCTATTTAAATAGCTGTTTCAGCAAATCGCTGAAGGGGGGTGGGGGCGGGGGGTCTGCAGTGCTGCACACTTTAAGGGCACATCAGGGGAAGGGGATTTGGATGGAGATGGGGTGAGGGGAGCTCAGAGTCAAGGCTGAGGTGAGTTACAAGGATCTGGAAGAGAAAATATTCAAGTAAAACTCAGAGAAGACTTTACACCTCAGAAGGGCTGGCATGGGAGGAAGCATCTTGTGTGCCCCCAGGAAAAATGCACCCTCATTGGGGGAAGAAGCTCTGTGGAGGCAGGTCTGGCCCATCTTTCCATGAGTGTGGAGAGATGGCTCAAACACTGGGTGGGAGATCGGACTAGATGCCCTTCTGATTGTGTGCCGGAGCAGGCTCCACTGGGAGTTTGAAACAAGCCATGGTGGGAATATTTACACCATAGAAAGTGGCAGGCACAGCAAATCTGCCTCCTCCTCGCCCCCCACCCCAACCCCGCTCCAGTTGTGAACCATTGATCTGATTCTTCCCCAATTTGGGGAACCAGATCTGCTATGCAAACATGACACATGCCACCCTGCAGAATAAGCACAGGCACGAGTGATGTCCGTTTTACCCACGAGGGAACAGACTCACCGAGATTAAGTAACCCAAGGTATATATAGCAGTGGGATGAGCACTCTTAATTGCCGAACTCATGATCACTCCATGAGCCTAGGCAGCCTCTCTCTCCTGCCCAGGCCCAAAATGATTTGTCCTGCCAGGAAGTCACATTTACATGACTTTGGACTTCCCTCCGCCCCTGTGCTCTATTTAAAGAAATGTCTTTATTTGACATTTTTAAATTACAACAACTTAGGATTGTGTAACAAATTTTAATATAAGACATCTATATATATAAAAGGCTAAGCGACCTGCCGACCGGCCAACTGGCCAACTAGGTATGATGTGCACTGACCACCAGGGGGCAGATGCTCAGTGCAGGAGCTGCTGAGCTGCAGTGACTTGGCAGTGGTGGTTCTTGGGTGATGCACCCCGAAACCAGAGAGGAGGGAGCCCGATTCCTCTCAGGGCCACGCGATTCCACCTTCGGCCGCGGGTTATGTTGTTGCTGGGGCAATGTTGGCCCGAATTTGGTTTACTGCACACTTGTGTTTGTGTTCTACACCCTGTACGACAGCAACTTTGCAGAGTGCCCTCTCACACTCCAGGACCCCTTGGGGGATGTTGGAGAGCCAGTTTTGGCCCGATCCCCGCAGGCCAGGCTGAGGGACCCCACCTGCCAGAGGGACCCCGCTCATTCCACAGATGTCCTCCAAGCCCCGGCACCACCCCAGGTGTCACCGGCCGGGAAGGGACCCCAGGAGGTTGGCTCCAGGTTGTGTCTGGCCCATCTCGCCCAGTCCTGCCCCACCGGCCACCTTCTAATTAATTTCCTTTCAATGTATACAAATTTGTTCACTGGGTCACTAGTATAAAATAAAACATAGCTCTAGCTTCTAATCTATCTTTCCCCACCTCCTAGTAATCATTCAATGTGTCTATTCATAGCTTTCTGTGTATATACAAGACAAGCATAAATATAATATTAAACATATAGTCATATATAAGGTAGTTTTTTGTTTTTATACAATTGGGATTTTACTATACAAAATGTTCTTTAAAATATATGTATATATATATTTCAGAAAGGAAGGGAGAGAGAGATAGAAACATCAATGATGAGAGAATTATTGGTTGGCTGCCTCCGGCACACACTCAACTGGGGATTGAGCCTGCAACCCGGGTCTGTGCCCTGACCATGGAATCGAACTGTGACCTCCTGGTCCACAGGTCAATGCTCAACCACTGAGTCACACTGGCCAAGCCAAAATGTTCTATTTTTACTTAAATTGTCATCACATCTTTCATTACTTCACTCTCACGCAGAGTATGAATGGATTATAATTTATATAGAAAGTGTCTTATTGATGGACATTTAGGCTACAACAATGTTTTTCAGCAATCATCTTTGTACAAATGTGTGTTTGAGTATATGTGTATTTCTGTAGGATTCCTAGAATTAGAAACTAAATATGCACAAATTAAGTTCTGATCTTGTCAAATTGCCCTCCAAGAAAGACTGTGGCAATTCATACTCTATCAACAATATCCAAGAGTGTTACCACCACACATTTGCCAACACTAAATAGTATCATTAATCTTTTTACTTTTTGCCACTCCGGTGGGGAAGTAAAGTGATATTTTAAAAATTTGCATTTCCTTAAAAATTAGTAAGGCTGAGTCATCTTTTCAAAGCTTACTACTAATCATTCATAAGCTTTCTACTGGGTTAGTTTATGTTCTTTGCCCACTTTTATGTTGCATGTTGTCTTGACTGTCTGTAGACAGCTTTGAACCTCTGTTGTACATACCACACAGTTTTCCCTTCGTATGCACACCAGCTCGTATGCACACAGCTCTGCTGCCCAGGGTCAAGCCCACACCACCCGGCCCTCCAGCCTCTGACAGGGGCACCCAGTGGCAGGGTGTGTGGCTTCTCTGAGCCTCAGTTGTAAGCATCTCGTAGGGCTATGGGAGGATGCCTTACGCTGCACAGAGGATGCAGAGCACCCTGCAGATTTCTTTTCCACTTCTCTCTGCCTTCCTTTCATTCTGACTCCCATTCTGAGGCACGGTATTGGCTTTGAAGCTGTTAGCACGGTGCACCAAAGCCGTTAGGAAAGAGCTCACAATCACTCCCACTTCCCTTGCAGAGTGGTAACTGGTGCTCAGAGGCCTGGCTATCAGGAGCTTCTGAGCCACTTTTCCCTTGGCTGGTTTCTTTGTGGGCAGTGACACCCATTACAAAATGCCAGCCCCAGTGAATACCTTGAATTCTCTTCCTCCCATGTCTGGAGCACAGGAAATGTTGGATGGATGGATGGATGGATGGATGGATGGATGGATGAATGGAGACAGGATCCTTGGTCTTTCCAAGCCCACTTGAATCCCTCCAGGCTTTCCTCTCTCTATACCTTTCCCCTCATCCTTCCCTGAAGCAGACCATCCACCTTCTCCACTCGGCTGCTCCCAGGTCATTCCCTTTCAGAGGGTCATTCCCTCCCCCTGAAATATCAGCCTCCAACCACATGTTTTATTTCCTCAGGGCCAGTTCCATGGCAGCTTCTCTCCTCACTGAATTCCCATAGCACTTTCTCTGTGCCTCTGTTGGGGCACTTGACACTTCCTGGTGTAACTGCTCTGTCCTTTCTCCCCTGATGACTCACTGGTGGGAGGTTGGGGAGTCATGTTTACTTCATCGTTGTGCTCCTCCAGTGTCCAGTGCAGGGCTGTGCACACAGTAGGTGTGTATGCACTTATTGAGTGAATGCATGAACCACCAAGAAGACCTATTGGCCACCACGCCAACCCAGCTCTTCTGGGTAGAAAGTCCAGTGCCACCAACTCTGGCTCCTGGGACAAACAGCTCTGAGCAAAGCTTCAATTTATCTTTGGGCCTATGGCATGGTGCATGGAGGGACACTCTTAGGTCTCTAAGAGTTTTCTATGTTAACTGCACTAACTAGGAATGCCCAGCAAGGCTCTTGTGGTCTACTGAATTACGACTCCAGTAGATAAAGCATTTTTCAACCAGAGGTGTTAGGGTCGGGGAAGAAGGTACACACAAGGCCAAAGAGGGTAAAGAATTATGAATTTATTAGATCATTTGGAAAACCAGATGGGCCGAGCCCCAAAATGGCGTCAGCACCCAGGGATGGGAAGTCAGAGGTTTTAAAGGACTCTAGGCGGGCTTTTTCTGGGCAGAGAATTTTCTGGGTGGGTCTGGAGGGGGAAGAGAATGGTCTTAGCAAGTGGAATGTGGTCTAAGCAAAAGGGAATGTCGGTTGTGAATGGTCTAAAGGTCAGTTCCCAGGGAGGGGGTATTGATTCAATTATTTCATCAGACCTAACAGAAGGGACCTTGAGTCTTTGGGGCCCAAGTGGCTCATTCTCTAGTTGGAAAGCCAAGAGTCAGAGAGGGGAAGTAACTGGTCCAAAGTCACACAGTGGCACAGTGAGAACTAGAACATCCAATGCCGTAGGACATCCAATCGAGAGCTTTTTCCAGGTGCCACGGGAAACTCAAGCTAGCCAACTTTTGACACTCAGCCAGGCAGAGTCAGATTAAGGTTAACCCATATGCCTAGCGCATCCAAGGACCGAAGACCCAGGAGTTGGGAATAGTGATTATGCCAACAAGCCAGTTAAGCATAATCCCCTGCAACAGTTTTGCTTTATCTTGTTAAATAAAATAAGGTGAATAAACATATATATAACTTTATATATATAACACACACAAGTGCACACATAAGTACTTTTCTCTTATAGGAGCAATACATGTTTGACATATTTATTGTAAAGAAATTGGAGCATACCAAAAAGCATACATAACAAAATTAAAATCATATAATCTCCCACCAGTCAGAATTAAATACTTAAGTTTTTTACATATTTTTTCCAGAACTTTTGCTATGCAAGTAGGAACTCATTTTAATATTTGGGGTGGTATTGCATGTACACTTTAATGTCTTCTGTTTTTCATTTAGGTCTTAAGGCACCACTTTCCCACATTATTATAATACTAGAGACCCGATGCACGAAATTTGTACAAGAGTAGGCCTTCCTTCCCTCTGGCACCCGGGACCCAGTCTTCCCTCGCAGGCCCAGCTTCATCCAGAAGGTCGTCAAGTCTAATTAGCATATTATGCTTTTATTATTACCAAGACAATCAATGGGTCTAGGCTACCTGTCACTACTTGAGCCAGTTCAGCAGAGACAGGGTTGAATCACAGATGAGCAGAGACAGGGTTGAATCACAGATGAGCATTTATTCCAATACTGCCGGCAGCACGGGAGAGCAGCAGGTCAGCCACAGAAATCTGCTCTGCACCTCCCCCCACATAAGGCAGCTGCTTATATTGGGTAGAAGGATGAAGATTACGTAGGAAAGTAGGCAAAAGGGAATGTCAAGTGGGCAGTTTATAGGTAATGCAGGCTGGGGGGTATGCAAAGGCCTGTGGGTATGCAAAGGCTGGGGGTCTTCAAAGAGCTGGCGGCTCTGGTTTCTGCAACAAGGTTGTTCATCTTTCCATGATAATAGGCAGCTCCCAGATGGAGAGGATGGGTCGCATTTCCAGGTGAGCTCCCGAGTCCCCTGTGCAACTCCCAGCCAGGTTAGAACGTGACTTCTTTAAATAAAACGAAACAATCACAGTTAACGGAGCCTGATTAATATTTCTTACAATTATAGCTGGTCTCCAATATTCTATTTCTGCCCCTATCTCATTGTGTGCCATAATTTATTTAACCACTTCTTTACTGTTGGATGTTTATGAACAATCCTCTGAAGAACATTCTTGAACAAAAGTCTTTGTCTGCGTTTGGATTATTTCTTTAGACAAATTCCTAGTAAGTGGAGGGCAAAAACATGTTTAAGACTCTCACTACTGGCTGCCAAGTAGCTTTCCAGAAACATGTACCAATTACAACCCCACCAGCTGCCTCAAAGAAGAGCCTTTGATTCTGCAATTGCAGCGACACCTCGGGCTGGGGGAGGGGCACTCTTTCATCCAAAGCCTCTTGGGTCGTCCTGACAATGGACTCCTTGTCCTGCCCCCATCTCCTCTTCCCATACTGCCCTCCATCCCTGGCTCCAGGCTTGACTGTCTGTGAGGCCTCTGTTCAACCGCCTCCCGCCTTCCTGGCACTCCAGGCTGCCCCTGAGATCAGAGTTGGTAGAGCTGAAAGGTGAGAGATGCAACTGTCCTGTGGGGATTCCCCGCCCCCAGCCTTGGGGAAGCCCCCAGAGGAAGTGAGGGGAAGGGTGTGTACGGGTTGCTGAGTCATCCACCTGTCGACCTCACCTAAGTCCTCAGCCCAGGGCAGTGACCTGCACACCTAGAAGAAGACAGTAGAGGCCAGCCTCAGTGACAACAGCCACAGGGGACTCTGGCCAGCGTGTGGGTGACTCTTGTTTCCCTACAGGCTCTGAAGCCCCTCCATGAATCCCCGGAAGAAGGTGGATTTGAAGCTCATCATCGTCGGAGCCCTGGGGTGAGTGAAGCCAAGCTCCACTTGGGGTCTGAGGTTGGGATGCAGGCCCCTCGCCAAGGGTAGTGAGACCTCCTGAATGTGTTTCCACCTCCTATGGGTACCTTTCTGATTCAAGGTGGCACTAGGGAGGGCATCCCACCCGAGGAAAAGAGCTCAGTAGGAGAAAGAGGCTGGGAATCAGGTTGCCTGGTTTCTGGTCCAAGCTCTGTGGAAACAAGCCAGTTAGCATCTATCTGCCTTCCCACCTCCTGCCACCTACAGGAAAGACCTGACCTTTGCTTTGGGGCACCCAGCTCTCTTCAGCCTCTCTGCTCACTTTGACTGGTTCCTACTTCTAGAAACCATTCCTTAGTGCCTTGCTACTCAAAGTGTGATCCTTGGACCACAAGTGTTAGAAATTCAGAATCTCGGGAAGAGACGGTGGCGAGAGGGGCTTGGTAAGATTTTGAGAATGGTATGGATGTGTGTGTTCACATGTGTCTGGGGTTTTTCCTCAGTGTAGGAAAGACCTCCCTCCTCCACCAATATGTGCACAAGACCTTTTTTGAGGATTATCAGACCACGCTAGGGGCCAGTATCCTCTCCAAGATTATCATACTGAATGACACAACTTTGAAGCTACAGGTGAGCGGCCCTCCCTTTCTCTCTTCAACATTCATACCTGAAAATCACCCCACATTCTCTGGACAGCCACTCACAGCAATGTGTTCTAGGAGCTAGCATGGTTTAGAGCTGACATCAGCAAACTTCAGCTAATGGACCAAATCTGGTCCAACACCTGGTTTTGCAAATAAAGTTTTATTGGCACACAGCCATGCCCACTTGATTACTGATGGTCTATGGCTGCTTTCACACTAGAGCGGCAGAGCTGAGTAGTTGCAACAGACCGTATGGTCTGCAAAGCCTAAGATATTTACTTTGTGACCCTTTACAGAAGAAACTTTTTGCGGATCTCTGATCTACAAGGATGAGCTCGAATACAGGAGTTGGGGCGTCTTACTTCTAGTCTTAGGTCCCTGGAAAATTTGACGAGTGGCCTTAGCAAATCATTCCCAAGGTCCAAATCTATCAGATGAGAATAACATTATCTATTCTGATGGCCCAGGGAAAAACAAGAGCTCAGATATGAAAGTGCTCACGGATGCTAAATGTGAGTGCCAAGATCCTGCAGTGTAGAAGGGTGACAGGGTCGAGATACCTGTGTGTGAAAAGACCACATGCACCTGTGCCAGGGCCGCCTGCTCCCTACCCAGAAACGGAAGCTTTGACATGATGTGATCCAGTTAGGCCAAACCTCCAGCCACTCATCACAGCCCCGTGGGACGGCTGCTTTTTCCTCCAGATCTGGGACACAGGTGGCCAGGAGCGATTCCGCTCCATGGTGTCCACATTCTACAAAGGCTCCGACGGCTGCATCCTGGCTTTTGATGTCACTGACCTGGAGTCCTTTGAAGCTCTGAATACCTGGCGGGGTGATGTTTTGGCCAAAATCATTCCAACGGAGCAGTCCTACCCCATGGTGGCGCTGGGGAACAAGATCGATCTGGAAGACCGGCAGGTACCATTCATTTATTGACTCATTCATTCACCCAACATTGTGTGAGCACTGGCTACAGGCCAGGCACTGTGTTAGATCCCACACATACGGAGCTGAATCATACACAGTCCTCGATTTAAAATTTCGCAGTCTAGTAGTGGATGGAGACACTTTAAAAGGTAACTATGATACAATATGGTAAATACAATGATAGCGATAGACCTTGGAAATGTGGGGACCACAGTGGAAGTGCATTTACTAAGGCCAAAATCTAGAAGGGGCTTCCTATGGTAGGTGGCTTCCAGGTTGATAAAACAACATGAGCATGCTATGAGCTGAGAATTAAAGACAATGTTGTCTAGAGACAGGGAGTGGAAGAATGAAGGCATCAAAGGTAGGCAGATAGAATTTGAATTAACCTGTAGAACAGTATGTCTACCCAGGGTCAGGTAGGGGGTCTGCAGTTATAAATACTTGAGTCGACAAATTTTCCGAGGAAGTAGTATATATTTTTAAATTAGCTTAAGCATAGCCTGGCCAGTATGGCTCAGTGGTTGAGCGTCGACCTATGAACCTGGAGGTCAACAGTTCAATTCCCGGTCAGGGCACATGCCTGGGTTGTGGGTTCGATCCCCAGTAGGGGGCGTGCAGGAGGCAGCCGATCAATGATTCTCATCATTGATGTTTCTATCTCTCTCTCCCTCTCTGAAATCAATCAACATATTTTAAAAAATAAATTAGCTTAAGCATATTCTGGATCATCTGGCTAACCACCGGATGGCTTGTTTGTTCCATGGTTGCAACAACTCTGTGTAGGTGTTTACTGCAGTGGCAGTGGTGTTTACTGCCGTTGCCTACTAATAAGAAGAGACTAGAGGTAGACTTAATTCGTAAACGATGCTCTGCCCTGTTACTTTTTGCCTTGGATCCCTCAGATGCATGTCAGACACAAATCCCCAGTAGCTACCAAACTCCAGGGGTTGAATGTTAGGCTTTCCAAGTGGCCTCCTTGAAGCCCTTCTCGGGGCTGAGGTGAGGCTTTGCCCTTTCTCTGTCTTTTGCGGGGTGCACAACACAACACAACTTTCTCCAAAGAAATCCTTTCTACTCCTCCTTTTCAGTCTGTTAGTATCCATGGTGTGGGGTTTGGAGTCATGGATTCTTGGTCATGTACTTTGGAAACATACAGGGTCAGGGGGCGGTCTATTTCCCAGCCCACCTTATATCAGACATCTATGAAATTGTAGTGCCTCCCCCAAAACTTCCACTTTAATGAACGTCCTGCTTCATATACTTACAGATTGTAGGGTGGGGAGTTGAGGGAGTTCAAGACTGAGAGTCTGATTTTTTCCTCCGTGAAATAAGAGGCACCATTTTCTTGAGGGAAAACCAAGTAGGAGTCTGAGGAACAATGGTGACTCTTCACCAGTCACCTGCAGAGAAACGGGTGAAGAAGCTAATTGGCGACAAAGACGAGAACTGATGGGTGGCACTCAGGGCTTATCGGAAGGAGGACACCAGGAGGTTGAGGTGGGGTCTGTATTGTGTTTTTCTTCAAGAGCCCTGTGTGGGGGAAAGCCAGGAACAAGGGACCTGGGCTGGGCCAGCAGAGGTGGAGGAGCAGGGCAGAAGGAATGAGCACGGGAGGGGGTTGAAGGGAGGCAGGTTGTGGCCAGAGTGGAAGATGGTATTTAGTGTTATCTTCTGAGGTCCCGGGTCTGGCCCTGCAAAGAAGAGGGAAGAAGGTGAAGTCTGTCGGAAGGGAAGGCAGGAAGCTATTGTGAGGGGTGGAGGCCACAGCGTGAGGTGGAGAGGAAGCCTCGCCAGACTGCAGAGCTCAATGAGTGAGGGGGTCCTGGCAGGATGGGAAGTACAGGCGATGCCTTGAGAGGGTGGAGGGGTCCAGTCCAAGCTGTGCGGGGGCATGAGCTTTGATCTACCGAGAGAGGAAGATGAGGGCTGGAAAGAAGCAGTAAAGCCCCGGGCAAGCCCAACCCCATCTCTGGGCCATGTGGTTAGCCCGTTCCAGCCTCTTCCTCTGTGAAATGAGGGCCAGACACAGAGTTCATGGGGTTGTTTGAGGATTAAAGGAAATGATGCCTATAAAGCATGTGGCAAGCTTAATAGATGGGAGCGAGGCCGATCCTCCTTATTATCTCCAAGGCACAGGCTGGGAAAACAGGAGAGCGTCTCCTACTCAGTACAAAGAAAATAAATGTTTAAAACTCTATTGCTAAGATGTGAGATGAAGGAGAAGTTCTGCAGATGGATGGGGGTGACGGTTGCACAACAACGTGAATGAACTCAATGTCCTTGAACTGCGCACTTAAATATCGTTGAAATGGAAAATGTTGTGTCTAAGTATATTTTACCACAATAAAAAATATATGTTGGCAGAATGATTTTAAAGAAATTACTGATCTAGGTTTTTTTCAAGTCCCTACTCTTTCTACAGAAGGTACTAGAGTGAAAAAAAATGTTAGGTTGTTTAAAAGAATAGATCTGCTAGCATCTATGCTACAAGGAATTTCTTCGCTAGCTTGTGGAGTCTTTGCTCTAAGTTCAGGTAGGTACTTTCTGACTTTCCACTGAGGCATAATGTTGGGATTATGTTTTCTGAAAATATTAGCTATTTTGGGTAGCAGTTTAAGATGTATTTGACACACTAATTTTAACACATACAATTGATGATTTAAACTGTATATGAGATGGAAAAGTATCACAAATAAAATTACATAAACTGGACTAATTTTGTCAAACTTTTGGCCTCTGATGAACATCAAAATTGTAATAGGAGCTCTGGCCGGTGTGGCTCCGTTGGTTGAGTGCCATCCCATGCACCTTTCGAAGGGCCGTGGGTTCCATTCCTGGTCAGGGCACATACCCAGTTTTGGGTTCAGTCCCCAATTGGGGCACATATGGGAGGCAAGTGATCAATGTTTCTCTCTCTCTCTCTCTCTCTTCCCTTTCTCTCTCTGTTTCTCTTCCTCTCGCTCTAAAGTCAATAAAAACAGACCCTTGGGGTGAACAGAAGTAAAATGTTAGTAGTATATTGTCAGCCAGAAGCAAAATTAATAGAAGTAACATTTCTAAAACTTTCATACGTCTCCTGTCCCCAAGTATCAAACCCGAGTTTATTTCCACAGTCAGAGCCTAAGGCATACATAGCCATTAAGACGGCTTTAAAGAGCATGAAACTGCAACTGGACTTGGAAGAGGAAAGTAAAAAGTCCTGTCTGGTTACTTTCTTCCCAGGGTTGCTTTCTGAGGTTCAATGGAGAGGTGCTGGGGACAGAAAAAGAATGTTAATTGGCAACATGATCCCCACCGCTATTTTGGAGTTGTTATTTAATCACTGCATGCAAACAGAACAGAGAACGAGTGGAGAGAATGAAATAAAATACCTGCCGTAGTCCCACCACGGTCCAGCAGGAGAGAAGGGGCAGCTGAGATCAGCCAGCTAGGAGTTGGGAACTTGTCTTCCTAGCTCTGTCCCTGGGTGACCTTGGGCACCAATCCTGGCTTCTGCCTCTTGTGCCACTAAAGAGAAAGACTCCCCTGCCTCCTGGAGGGGCAGAGGCACGTGACTTCATTGCGCCTCCTTTCAGAGTCTACCGCAGCTCCTGAGCCCCAGTGATGGGCCCAGGGAAATACTCATCACCTGGTGGGGCTGGAGGGCCGGGGGAGGGGGGGGGAGGTGGAGGATAAACAAGGAAGAAGCAATCAGAAGGGTAAGAGCAGTCCTTGCCCTCAAGGACTTTAAAAGACACAAAGCCTGGCCCAGCCAGTGTGGCTTGGTGGTTGAACAGCAGCCCATGAGCCAAGAGGTCATTGATTCGATTCCCAGGGTCAGGGCACATGTCTGGGTTTCGGGTTTGATCCCCAGTAGGGGGTGTGCCGGAGGCAGCCAGTGGATGATGTTTCTCTCTCTTTGGTGTGTCTATCTCTCTATCCCTCTCCGGTCCTCTCTCTCTAAAAAAAAAAAAAAAGAAAATCAATAAAAACATTTTTTAAAAAGATACAAAGCCCTTGTGTTACTAAAATGCCATCCAGGTATAACGTGTTCATTTCTAATGAGTATTGATTTGCATGGTACTCGTGAGGACAATAGTAACCGGTAGCCCGGCCATCCCTGGTTCTTCCCCCAAATACAGTTCCGGGTTTCCCCTGAGCTGTGAGGCTTCTTGGTGACTCACCCGGTCGTGGGCAACTCTGCTCCTCAGAACGGAGCACGCGTGCTCGTTGCCAGTTCTGGGGCCTTTTCCCAAAGGCAGGAGGGTCCTGTCCACCAGAGCCCAAGACCAGGGCCTGCGGATTCTCCCTGCTCTGCTCACGATCAGCAGCACCTGGGGGACCGACTGGGCAGAGCCTGGGCATGGGAGGTAGAGGAGTCAGCTGGGCCCCCCGAAGCACAGGCTGCTTGGCCGACGACCCCGTCTCCACCCCCCAGTGCGAGGTAGCGAGCCTCACACGGCCGGCCAGGGCAATGCTGGGGGGACAGCAGAGGCATGTGAAAGCGCGCCATGAGCCCTGGGCCCTGAGGCCACTCCTGAGACCAGAAAAGCAAAGACCGAAGACGAAAGGGACAGCAATGGTACCTTTCATCGCAGTAGGGTAAATTCCGAGGACCTGCAGGAGCAAGGAAGACAACCTGCTGAGGGCAGTCTCCGGGCTCCCCCTGCTGCGCTGTGCTCTGGGGCGGGCACAATGCCCTCTCCCCATGAGAAAAACCTTGGCTGCCTTAAATAAGAGGAAATAATGGTTATAAAGTCCCAGGTGTAGCAAATGTTCAATAGATGGCCATTTCCTCCTTCCCGAAAGACGCAGACCTGACACGCAGTGGTACCAATGTCTTTGGAAGTCACCTGCAGTGCCGCCAGACATTTTCCAATCCGGACCCTCTAAGTGGGCGCGGCCATTGGCACGTGGGCCGTGATGTACTCATTCACCGCCCTGCGTGACTCAGGGCACCAGGCCAAGAGCTGAAAAGGCCTTGACCCTGAACTCAAAACACCTGCAGTCCAGCGGGAGAGACAGAAAAGCAGCACAGTTCTGCATAGGGCGGCTCAGATGGCATGGGAGCACTGCGCTGGGGCTTCATCCGAACCCTGCCTTCCTCGGCTGTGTGATCTGAGGCAAGTTGCTGAACCTCTCTGAGCTTCCGTGTTCTTATCTCTATTTTTTAAAAATATTTTTTTATTGATTTCAGAGAGGAAGGGAGAGGGAGAGAGAGAGATAGAAACATCAATGATGAGAGAGAACCATTGATTGGCTGCCTCCTGCACACCCCCTACTGGGGATTGAGTCTGAAACCTGGGCATGTGCCCTTGACTGAAATCGAACTCAGGACCCTTCAGTCCGCAGGCCGACGCTCTCTCCATTGAGCCAAACTGGCTAGGGCTCAGTGTTCTTATCTCTAAAGTAGAGCTAATAAGACCTGTCTCACCGGGTTATTCGGGATTAAATAAGTTAATATGACAAGATATCTAACACAGTGCCTGGCCCATAGTAGGAGCTTATCAACTGTTCCTAGGACTCTACCCTGGAAAACAGGGTTAGCGGGGACCTGAGTCTCTGCCCAGCAACAGGCCTCCTGGGTCAGCCAGCTCACGGGAAGAGAGTCCTCCGTCCCTGCCCCGTGTCTGTCATGTCCATCTCCTCTTGAAGGGACTGGAGAAGGAGCCAATGACAGGAAGATGCCCCTCGTGTAGGCCTTCGGAAGGCAGCACAGCACAGGGGGCTCTCATTCCGCCAGGCCTGTGTTCAAATCCTGCTCAGCCCCAACGCTCGGGGCAATTCTTTTATTCGCTAGTCCTCAGTTTCCTCACCTGGAAAATGAAGCTAACGATAGCCATCTCACATTTATGTTAAGAAATCACATGTGTAAAGTTACAGACACTCGGAAGGTTCTCAATAAATGGGAATGGAGGTAGGGATGGTGGGGATGATGCTATAGAAACAGCGATCCTGTCTTCCGTCGAATCAGGTGCCACAGGAGGTAGCCCAGGACTGGTGTAAAGAGAAGAATATTCCCTACTTTGAAGTCAGTGCCAAGAATGACATCAACGTGGTACAAGCCTTCGAGATGCTGGCCAGCCGAGCTCTGTCCAGGGTGAGTGGCTGTGGAGGCAGCACTTGGCCGGGCGGCCCCCTAGGGTGGGGGAACTTGGGAGCTTCCAGAACAGAACATATTGGACACGGGTAGGGATGTGGGCGGACAGGATTGCTCATCGACTTAATGAGTTGCCGAATGGGCTCAAGAGGACTCCAGCTCTGGGACCGCAGGATGCCAGAGGCACAAAGCTACTTTAGAGAGGAGAGTCGGTGGTCCCTCCATCTGGCTGATATCAAAGTCATTTGTGGAGTTTCTAAAAAAAGAAAAATTGCCGTCCTGTACCCCACCCCTGGAGATTCTAATTAGTAAGAGTTTTGAGATGTGATTAGTTCAATCCTCCTTGGTGAGGGAGAAGCCCTATGGTGCCAAGTATTTGTCCAAGTAGAATATCAAACCTGCAGGAGTTGCTGGCATTTCCCATCAAAAAGTTGGATAGAGTCTGGCTGGTGTAGCTCAGTGGTTGAGTGCCGACCTATGAACCAGGAGGTCCTGGTTTCTACTAGGGCATAGAATGTAAGTCACCTGGATTTTTAAGGTGAAACTGGAGTTTGAAAATCTGTGTTTTAAGGTCAAAGGAGAATTTTCTAAGGCATTTTCTCCAAGGGCCTCTCCCCTCTCTCCCAGGGAAGCCGTGTGCTGGTTTGCAGAGGGAGGTATGAGGGGTGCTGCTGGGAGGGGGAGGGGAGCCCCAGCCTGGGGGGTGAGGAGTGGGGCCCTGCAGCTGGCTAGACCTGGCCTCACATGAGGGTCCAGAGACGTCAGGGTTTTAGCTACAATTAGCTCAGTGGCATGAGTGGGCCCTGCACACAGCAGGGGGCCCGTAGGAGGACTGGGCAATGCCCAGGGCGGCATAGGCTGGAGCCCCAGCCCCAGGCCTGGGCGGTGCTGGGGATAAGGAGCCACTCGGGCCCTGTCCCTCCTCAGGCACCTCACAGTAGGACTGGTCTCCCACAGGGGGCAGCTGGGCACTCCGGGTCAGGTCTGTGCGGAGCGGGCTCGGATCCTCCCCAGGAGAGGGGAGACTGAGATTCATCTGAGGTGTGGGGACCTCTCTCATCTCCAGGGGGACAGGCTGTCCACCAGAGAGACTTCCTCCCACCCCCAACACTGACCCTGCCCTTACATTATATATATGCAATTTTACAGGCATATATGTTATATATATATATATATATATATATATATATATATATATATATATATATATATATAAAACAAATATTACAAATAAAATTCTAATAACTCAAAAGAATTTGTTGAGGGATACTCAAGGCCCAGCATCCAGGCTGAAGACGGGTGGCTGCCCCGGGACCCTGTCTGGGAGGAGTGAGACATGGGGGCTCTCCATGAAACACACTATGTGAAGAAGGGCTGATCCCTGGCTGTGTACCACCAGCTACATTACTGCTCAGTCTGGGGGTGACAGTGAGTGACAGGGCATCAGGGGACCATCCCATGTGTCTTGGGGGTCACCATCATCAGGGTATAGCAGGTGGGCCTGACACCACCTCCTGGGGTCCAGGGTCAAGGGCACCAGGGTTTGGTTGACGTTCACCAGCTGGACACCCAGCCAGAGCCCGGGAGCCATGGAGGAGGAAAAACAGGGTCCTAGAAGTTGTCCCCTCAGAGAGGGGCACTGGGGACACACCACCAGGCACAGTGTCACCTGCCACACCGGAGGCTCGCCCTTCTCAGGGCCACAGCTGCACACAGGGTGAGGGCGCCCATCCCGCCCTCTCACACACGCCCACCCGCTGTGGGAGGGACGCGGTGGCTGAGAGCAGCAGCACAGGGGGATGGGGTGCCTTTGAGAAGGAACCTCTCTGCATGTGGAACCGTGTCCTGGGAAGACCCCCCCACACCCACCCTCGCTCCTGAACCAGGTGGGCCAGTCCCACGTGAGCAGTGGCCATCGAGGGGCGGGGGGGGGGGGGCTTTCTCTGGGCCATGTTGGGATAGGAGAGTTGGAGGTGGGCAGACAGGCCATGAGTCTGTGTCCGGAGCCTCCCTGGACACAGAAGAACACGATTGACAGAGGGTGGGGAGGGTGGGAGGTGGCCTTGGTGAGAGAAGGTTGGGGTGTAGGGATTTGTAAGGAGAGGTCTCAGCAGAAACGAGGTGTAGGCTGTCATCATCTCTGCTGAGGTCAGACGTCACCTCAGTTGCCCCTGCAGAGAATGGGGAGTTAGGGGACCTGCTCAGAGGTCAGGACACCTGGTCTCTGACCCAACCACCCAACCGCTCTGGGCTCCTGGGAGTCCCTGGAGGAGGTGAGGACGGAAGGGGGCGAGGCGACCAGGGGCTCCCCGCTGGGCCTGTTTCCCAGCAGCACTGAGGGAGGGGGTGGACAGAAAGCCAGCACCATCGGCCGCCAGGAGACGGACGGGCAAGTGGTGCTCGCAGCCTCTCAGAGGTGGACTCTGACTCCTCTCCTCCCTCCCCAGTATCGGAACACAGAGAACTACCTCACAGACTCCATCAAGCTCTCGCCAGAAGACCAGACCAGGAGAAGATGCTGCTGACCTCCCAGCCTCCCTCTCTGGACACCAGAGACTCGGCGTGCCCTGGGCCTGGTCATCCCGGCCTCCAACAGCTGCACCGCCCGCCCAGGCTCGGCCCAGGCGCTGTGGCAGGGCCCTGGCCCCTTGTGTCTGTGCTGGGCCCAGAATCAGAGGGCGACCTCTCCCTTGGGCTGAGCTGAGAGAAGTGAGCACAGGGCTGGGTCCTGGGAATCCTGATGAGACTCAATGTCACTGTGAAATCCTGGCCTGGAGGCGTCACCATTTCCTCACTGGCTCAGCTTTCCTGCTCCCTCCCCCCACCCTCCACCCCCCCCCCCCCAACACACTCCTGCTCCAGACGCTCATCTCTGCAGACAGACGGGCCGCTGTCCGGGAGTCCTGTGCACTCCCAGGCCAGCGCCACCCACAAGGCCGCCGCTCAGCTCTGGACAAGGGGGCGACTCAGCCTCCCTCAGTAACCAGGGCCAGGAAGTGACGGTCTGGACCTCACATAGGGGCCCGCCTCATCCCGCCGCACAGCTGTCCAGTCCCGGGACACCCTCTGTCCCCTCCAGAGTATAGGACTGAGGAGCCCAGGAAAAGCCACCAGGGACGGGCTCATTCCCCCTTGTTGGGTGCTCAGGCAACTCCCATAAGTCTCTCTGAGCCTCAGCCTATTCATCTGTCAAATGGGGGATGCATATGCCCCACCCACCTCAGAGTGTGGTTTTGAGGACCAGAGCTCTGCCTACATCGCAGTTACTCTTGTTGACATGCATTTATTTATTCCTCCAGCAAGTCGTTTTGACTCTCTACTACCTGTGATGCACTGAGATCCACTGACACACAAAACAGACAAGGAGCCGGTAGGGAGAGGGGCAATAGTCAGAGAATTTACAGAGAAGTGGTCCAGGAGGGTTCCCTGAGGTGGTAAAATTTGGCGTGAGGGCTAGAGAATGAGAAAGGGGCTGCCACCTGAGATCTGGACGGAGAACATTCCGGAGAGAGAGCAGCAAGGGCCACGGCCCCAGGTGAGGATGCTCTTGCTGGGTGCTAGCAACAGTGAAAGGACATTCATTCACCTGAGCACTCAAAGCTGCTGTCCCTGGGCTGGCGAAGGGAGCCCCGCCTCCTGGGTGGTTCCTTGAGCCTCTGCTGACTGGCCACCAGAGGGCAGCAGTGCTCTCTCGTTCAGGCTGAGCGGAAAGGGGACGCTCCAAGGACGCTCTGGGTAGGTCAGCGCTTCAAGATTCGTGGGGCCGGAGAATCGCAGTTCCTTACGCTTAGTAAGAAGTGGGCAAAACTGCAACATCGGTGATTCAAGCAAGAACCCCACATCAGTGACCAATGCTAGAATGAGGAGCCCCGAGAGCTCATGGATTCTCTGTCCCTACAGAGTCTAAGGCCATAGTCTTTCTTCTGGCTGCAGAGAGTAGACAGGGCTCACTCCAAGGGGGTGGCCAAGACGACCTCATGGCCACAGAAGTCTCCTGTCTACACAGAGGTATCCTTCCTGCGCTGCAAGCAGAGCTGGCGACCTTAGTCTACGACTTCTGAGTGTCCCCTGACCCTGAAGAGGCAGGGGGTGGGGGCGGTCAGGGAGGGAGTCAGGAGCCCCTTCTCCCCTCCCCAGCTGTGGAGTGAAAACTGGCTTGTCCTGGGCAGTAGCATGGACCCGGCACGGGGGCCGGAGGCCTGGAGCCCAGCTGTGTCCGTGTCTTTCCCGGGCTGGCATTCTGCACCCCGCTCGGCTCTCCTGGGAGTCGGAGGGGCTGTGGGTCGGAGGGACGGAGTGTGGGAGTGTGCGCAGCAGCTCGGGCACCACGACGGACATGTGGCCCGTTTCTGAATGTGTACAATAAATGATCAATGTGTCCTCTGTTTTGATCCTTTGTGGGGTTTCGTTATGAAATGGAAAGGATAAGTCTCCAGAGTTCAAAATTCAAAAGCTACTAAAGGGAAGACAAGAGAATGTAAGCAGGACCAGCTATGTAACTGGCGGGACCCAGTGCCCAGTGAAAATGCCCGGTTCCTTATTCGGAAGTTATGAAGGATTTCAAGACAGCAACAGTGGATCATTAAGCCAAGCACAGGGGCCTTGAGTGCAGGCTGCGCGCCCCCTAAAGCCGTCCCGAGGGAGTGGCCATGTTTTCATGCCTCCAGGATGATAGAGCCCTGGCCAGCCCACCTGGGCTGCAGGCGTCCCGGAGCTTGTAGATTAGAGTCTATCTTTGCAAGAGCCACGTGGAGATTCCACCCCAGGCCCAAACCACAGACAGAATGTTCCACATGGTGGGGGGTGGGGGGTAGTGGGGGTCGAAGGGCCCACAGCATCCCTCCTGTTATGACTAGAGGGCACGCTGACCAATCCATAAGGCAGAGGGAGCTGAGCTGACAGACTGCAGACTGCCCCCACCCCACCCCATCCCCGCCTCTGGTGAGACCGGCCCTCAGGGGGGTAGACAGAGGCAGCAGGTGGGGACTCCTGAGTGCAGCCCACTCGAGCCTGAACAGGGTGGGGCAGCATTTCCTGGGCCGCTTCATCACCATCCCTTCGGAGAAGAGGACCCAGGTGAGCAAGACTGCTCTGACCCAGGCTGCTCTGGTGCCCACCAGAGCCCTGCTCGGAGGGGAAGCTCCGGAACTAATCTATATATATAAAAGCCTAAGCGACCGGCTGACCATTTGACCATCCGATTGGTAGCCACGACGTGCACTGACCACCAGGAGGCAGACACTCAACGCAGGATGACTTGGCAGCTACAGTTCTCGGGTGACACCGGAACCATAGAGGAGGGAGCCCGATTTCGGGATGTGTCACCCAAGAACTGCCCTCTCGCAATCTGGGACCCTCGGGGGATGTTAGAAAACCGGTTTCAGCCCTATCCCCGCAGGCCAGGCCGAGGGACCCCACCAGTGCATGAATCCATGCACTGGGCCTCTAGTAAATAATAAAGACGATCCGGCCTGGTTCTGCATGGTACACGCCCTTGAGGCTTGAGGAAAAAACAAAGCCAAATCTGCTCACCAAATAAACCTGGGTTGGCCAGGCTGAGCGCCACATGCCCAGGGGGCTGGGGAAATGCTGACTTTTTCTGCTGTTTGAGGCTCCCTCATCACCCCGCCCGCCAGCCCCGGGCAGCTCCCAGCAGAGACAGCACGTGGCCAGCACCTCAAAGCCATCGTGTTACTAGGAGTGCACAGCACAGTGGGGCCACAGAACAGCCAGGCAGGCAGCACCACCCAAAAGCTGGGACAGAGGACTGACATGCAGACACGCCTGCTGTGTGCGCGCCTCACGCTGCCTCTAGGGCGTGTGGTCTGGGGCCGGGGGAGGAAGAGGACCAGGCCAAGTGGGAAGCCTGGTTCAAGCCGGCGGCCTTGGCCTGCACCAGGCCTCTGCGCGTGTCTGTGAGGTACAGGGTGTGTGTGTGCGGTTAGTGTGTGTGTGTGGGCTGTGTTTGTGTGTGGGGTGTGTGTAGTGTGTGTAGGGGGGGGTAGGTGGTATGGTATGTAGTATGGGTGTGTGTGTAGAGTATGTTCAGTGTTTGTGTCGGGGGTGTAGTGTGTGGGGTGTGTGGAGGTAGTTGGTGTGTAGTGTGGGGGGTGTAGAGTATGTGCTGTGTGTGTGTGTGTGTGTGTAGTGTGTTCATGTGTGTGTGGTGTGTTTGTGGGTGTGGGGGGAGTGTATAG